ATACCCCAATACTGTGTGTCGGGGAAATACTGGTGTAATACCCCAATACTGTGTGTCGGGAAATACTGGTGTAATACCCCAATACTGTGTGTCGGGGAAACACTGGTGTAATACCCCAATACTGTGTGTCCAGGAATACTGGTGTTATACCCCAATACTGTGTGTCAGGGAATACTGGTGTATACCCCAATACTGTGTGTCATGGAAATACTGGTGTAATACCCCAATACTCTGTGTCGGGAAATACTGGTGTAATACCCCAATACTGTGTGTCGGAGAAATACTGGTGTAATACCCGAATACTGTGTGTCGGGGGAAATACTGGTGTTATACCCCAATACTGTGTGTCGAGGAATACTGGTGTAATACCCCAATACTGCGTGTCGGAGAAATACTGGTGTAATACCCCAATACTGTGTGTCGGGAATACTGGTGTAATACCCCAATACTGTGTGTCGGAGAAATACTGGTGTAATACCCGAATACTGTGGGTCGGGGGAAATACTGGTGTTATACCCCAATACTGTGTGTCAGGGAATACTGGTGTATACCCCAATACTGTGTGTCATGGAAATACTGGTGTAATACCCCAATACTCTGTGTCGGGAAATACTTGTGTAATACCCCAATACTGTGTGTCGGGAATACTGGTGTAATACCCCAATACTGTGTGTCGGGGAAATACTGTTGTTATATGTATACCCCAATACTGTGTGTCGGGGAAATACTGGTGTAATACGTATACCCCAATACTGTGTGTCGGGGAAATACTGGTGTAATATGTATACCCCAATACTGTGTGTCGGGGAAATACTGGTGTAATACGTATACCCCAATACTGTGTGGCGGGGAAATACTGGTGTAATACCCCAATACTGTGTGGCGGGAAATACTGATTGCTGTTTAACTTTCGCCTTTATCACATTAGGGAATGTTAAAATGTTATTACACAGCATGCCATATGTCATTATGGAATGTAAAGGTTGAACTGGTTGAGTATGGATTTTACCAGTGAGTACGAATATTTGACCCAGAGAAAGTTTTCTGGTGCACAGAATTTTACTGCGGTGATACGACAATGACAAGTAAAACCTTTGTGTTTGATAGAGTCCCCACGAATAGAGTGTCCTCTGTGGGACAAACTCCAGGCAGAGGAAGAGAGTGAGAGGAGAAGAGCTTTCCATGTGAACAACTTTGACAGGATGATCAGTCTTACTGAGGAGGGCAAGCTTTGGAAATTCCCCATCAATAACGATCAAGGTAAGTATCCGGTTGGGTGAAAGCTCAACTTTCTTTCTGCTTCATCACTTGTGTGTATTTGAAATATATTTAGTATTGAAAGGGGAACCTTAAAACATTCTTAATGTATTTAGAATCTAAACGTTAGGTTTTAGGACAGTTTATAATCCGCCACTCAACAGGGAAATGGAGTCTGTCTGTGTGTCCATCCATGCATTTGGTTAAGAATTGCTCTCATCTATATCTTGCTTACTACAAGTGCTATGTTGATTATACTTGTATCAGTTGTGTATCTAGAGTTGCTCTACTGAATGCATATTGCGGATGCTGATTTTGACCTATATTTTACGTTTCATTGACTTGGTTAAGAAGAGTTGCTCTCATCCATATCTTGCCTACTGCAAGTGCTATGTTGATTATACTTGCATCAATTGTGTATCTAGGGTTGCTCTAACTGAATGCATATTGAGGATGCTGATTATGACCTATATTTCATGCTTCCTGTTTTTAATGACATTTGCACTGGGAGCGGGGGATATATCGATGACAACGTCTTCTTGTTGCAAATGTATTTTTTTTCTTTTTCTTAATCATGGCCCTTTCAACAAAAGTTGTATTAACTTGCAGGCATTTGATATAGATCATGGCTGTTTGATACATAGACATGGTTTACCTATGTTGGCATGTTACAACATTTACATGCACTGCCAGGCAGCCATCTTGGATCGATTCTAACAGTTAACGTTTGTTATCATTGTGTGTCAAAAAGTACAGAAGAGTTCTTTTGAAGTTTCTATCAAGGCTTCTCCTGTTTTGGGTTTTCTACTGAATTGCTCAAAAAGTAAATTACAGATAATTTTTAATTGATGTAGATGGTTCTTCCTGTTCCCTTAACCCTTTCACCCCTATGTAACTTTCAAAGACTCTACCATGCATTGATCTGGATGAGTCCTTTATGGTCTACAGTGGTGAAAGGGTGAAATTGTCCATATCCTACCATTTCTTTTAGACTCGAAATTGCTTGATCAAAAGAAATCTCTCTGGATCTAGTTCACACAATAGTTACAATATATAGAATAGCAACAGAAGAGTTCACTTTGAAGGGTAATGTGAAACACCAGCTTCTAGCAGTATGAAGTTTGGATCCAATGTTACCACAATATACATTTTCTGTTAGCATGATCTTCTCCAAAAGATAGAAAGCAAAGATCAATCTTCTGTAGACCTAGTGGAGATATTTCAATGGTGGTTGCAAAGATACGGGAACTGCGGTTAGCTACGTGTGGATTGATAGTCCAATAATAGAACCTTCCCCTACCTTCAGAAATTTCCAACCCAAGGGGTGATTTATTCAGTTGTCGAAGGTTATATATGCTAGCAACAGAACACTCAATACAATGATGTTATACCTTCATAATCATTGTTAACTATTTCAATTAAGGTTGGACAGAAGAAGAGGATGTGTCGTTTGGTGAACATGTATTTCTCGACCCCCTTATTGAGGATTTTCCGAAGAAAGGACCGGTGAGACATTTCATGGAGCTTGTGACGGCAGGTCTGTCTAAAAATCCGCACATGACAGTGAAGGAGAAACACGATCATATAAACTGGTATCGCACATACTTCATTGAGAACCAAGACTTAATGCGAGAGGAATTAGGAGAGGAACACGGCACAATCAGAGAACCCCATCAGCCTGTGTAAACAGTCGCGGAGAAGGCGTGATACTCCATCAGCCTGTGTAAACAGTCGCGGAGAAGGCGTGATACTCCATCAGCCTGTGTAAACAGTTGGGGAGAAGGCGTGATACTCCATCAGCCTGTGTAAACAGTTGCGGAGAAGACGGGGGTGGTCTGTGAATTTAACAAGCAGTGTAAATGGTGTGTTGTGGCAAAGGTGGGGTTAGTTTGTGAATTTTACAAGCTGTGTAAATGGTGTGTTGTGGCAAAGGCGGGTTAGTTTGTGAATTTCACAAGCTGTGTAAATGGTGTGTTGTGGCAGTGGCGGGGTTAGTTTGTGAATTTCACAAGTTGTGTAAATGGCGGTTGAGAAGGTGGGGTTAGGTTAGTCAGTCTGAAAATTTCATAGACTGATTTCTTTCATAAATAAATATGTTAAAATGTATGTTCAAGTTGATGTCATTGAATTTGTTTTGTGTGTTCATATTAAAGGGACATCACGTGAAAAGGCGTTTTTTTTTTAATGAATGTATGTATTGTATGCACTTCCACTTATGTTACCTCGCTATCCCCATATTCATAGTCCGTTCCAAATGTCCAGTTTGACCACTTGAATTGTTCGGGAAAGCCCGGCTAAAAATAGCGCCGATAACGTCACCTGATTAGGCAGTAAACACAAGTGGTGCGAGCGAGATGAAACGGTTTACAAAGGGGCCCTCAGAGAGGGGCCGTCAGGCAACTGCAACTTCTTACCGCACTATGAAACCAAGTTATATGATTTCTAATTCCGTATTCAAACTTATTGAACAGTAATTATTCATCATCAGAAGTTAATTGCACACTTGCCAATATTAAGAATTTAAATTTATTTAGCTTTTAACATAAAT